AAGAGAAACTAAGAAGAGCGAGGGGGAGGGGAAGGACTCCTCTGATATTGACATCTGAATGACAATGACAATGAACTGTCCCTGAGGTCCCTTCCAATCCCAGTGCACTGGGGGAGGGACGGAGAAGCACCATGGTTGTTTGTGACCTGCTCTCTGCCATGTTGCAGTTGCATCTGCGTTTGCGTAGCAGCAGCAGAGAGCAGCATCTGTAAGCTTGCAGCTTGGTAGTGCCTTCCTACCAAGTTGTAGCCAATCCTTTCCTATTTACCCTTGCCTACCCTCTCTATTGTCATCCCTGGCAACTCTTTCTTCCTCAAAAATCCTGTTATTTGTTGTTCTTATTCCCCACCCACCCAAACAAAAAGAAAGCAGTGCTTTGCCTGCCAGTGTCTCATCACTGTGCACTGCAAGAAAGCACTAAACATACATTACACACACTCACATGGACACACATTTTGTTCCAGCACATGAAATATGAGACATGCTGGAAAGGCAGGTGCCAGGTCTTCTGGCAGAAAAGTCAGAGGGGGCAGATGGGCAGAGCTGTAATTCCCCCCCTCCCCCCCAACACACACATTTAGACATACCCTCTTTCCTGGCACTAGCAGGCATGAGGCTTCTGGTGCTGGTGGCAGCAAGGAGGTGGGACCAGGGCCTGCATCTGCACCCCCTCCAATAACACCAGCCATAATAATAACCCCAGGCACCACCAGAATGACAGTCTTCTCCACCCCCATTTCAGTTCCCAGCCTGAGCCTTCCAGTGCCAGAGGAGGAGCTAGATCTGGAAGCAGGGGACTTGAGCGCCATAGCAAAAGAAATTTTGGGGACTGAGGAGGAATCTGAGTTTGTGCTCCACCCATCTGTGAAAAGTGGTTTGTAAATTCCCTCTGAGAATCAGGACTGAGAGACTGGAGACAGAGTGGTTTTCTTGTGAGAAATGTGCCCCCACAGGTACTTGGGTATTCTTGTCTGTAACAGATTCTGGTGTGAAGTTTGTGGGGGTACTGGCACGTTTTGCATTTCTTGTCATAGCATAGTCTGGATCCATTTGGTATGCTTTGGGCTGTAGGAAGTTGGCTTCTGGTGATGAGGTTAGCGAGGTTCCGTGCTTGTTTGAATTTACAAACCACTTTTCACAGATGGTATGAACTTCACTTCATTAACCTCCTAGATACAGAAACTCATGGACTCAATATAGACATTGGATTTACGACACACTACAACCTGCCTGACATCTGACTCCCCAGGTACCTCTCTACTTTTACCTGCTACATCCCCCTTCTACCTCCTCCCCCAGCCCGTCGCTCACCTCCTGATGCCTCCATTTCCATTTTCACTGACTGGCTTTCTTGCCTACACTGCATACCAGCCTCTGGCTTCTTTACTATTCCTTCCATCCAGGAAGAGCACACACACCAACTGCAGATGCTTCCTCACCTTGATGAAATGTTTTTAAACCTGAAAGCTTGCAAAGAAGAATTTCTCCAACTATTCAGGTGGTCTAATAAAAGATGTCAGATTGACCCCAAGAACCTTGTCTGGGCTATGTCCTTAGACCAACATGGCTACAACCTACACCCCTTAACACACACAAGTGACATGAGTTTTGCTTTCAGCAGTTTGAGGTGCAGTTTCACAGAAACCCCCTGCACCACTCTGCCTGAAACCTGGCAGGCCTCCCTCCTGCCCACAAAAGGGGCTATGTATGTGGCAGGACAGGTACTATTCAGGGAGGCCATTTAATGCCCTGCTCTCAAAGCTGGAGGCAGCAGTTTAGTTTTTCACCAGCCATCAGGAGAAGAACATCTCCCTGTTGGGTTCCAGCCCCAGAAAGAACTTGGAGGTATAAGGGCTGGGGCTATAGGGAAGGGAGGAGGCCCCACATCATCCTGGGAATGACCTAAAACTGCACCTTGCCAGGGTCAGGAGACCTGATGGAACTGCTGGTGGTGCGGCAGCCCCATGAAATGCCAAGACTGAGCATCTCCCTGGCGAAAGGTGGGTAGGAGGTGCCTTATAACCTTCAGTCATCGCATGCATGCACAGGCCTAGCTGGGGAAAGCCCAGACCTGTAAGATCTTTGAGAGGCCTGAGGCTTACTGGTTGTTGTGGAATTGTAAGGGTGAGAACAGGGACTACCATCCCTGCAATTTTCATCCCGCTCTGCCTTAACACACACACATACAAAGTCACACATGTCATGAGTTTTGCTTTGAACAGTTTGAGGTGCATTTTCCCAGAAACCCCTGCACCTATCTCCTTGAAGCTTGGCAGGCTTCATGGCCTCATAAGGGGCTAGCATCCCTACAAGTTTCATCTGAATTAGGCAAAAAATGTCAAAGTTATAGGCAGATTTGTGATTCACCAGTATAGCCTAGGGCTGAAACACCGAAACAGCGTTGAAATTCTGAAACAGTTTCGAAACAGTTCTGGCCGAAACGAAATGGGACAGCAATCCAAAACAGCAAAACAAAGTACTGTCCCTCCAAAACACCGAATCTGAACCGAAACGAAACACAGCCATTTTGCACAGCCCTACTGGCAATACCTAGTAGTACCAGTGGAAAAAGACACCACCACTGTTGTGGGAGCACCTGCAACATGGAAGCAGAAAGGGCAGCTGTTCCTGTCATGAGCAGCAATAGCTGTCAAACAGAGCTGGCAGAAGCGAGGAGAGCAGTCCCAGCAGGCATGGGGGTGGGGGGAAGGAAGGGTAAGTGGGAAGAGCAGGAGCTGTCTGACAGGCTGTCTTGGGGTCAGGGGAACAATGCAGCAGCCCCTTATCTCCCCCTGCCTGGAGAGTACATCTCTGAAGTAAAGAGTACACCTCTGAGGTAGGTGACTTTGGCACGCTCCAGCCAGGGTGCTGTACACATGTGCCCACCCCACACAGTACTTGATTTCTGCAGCACTACAAACAAACGTTTGTCCACAGCCTGAGGCTACTTTCTAAATTTACTATAAATATTACTGCTAGCTTACAGTGGAAAAAAAATATTCATTAGCTAGAGAAATAACTACCGAAAAGGCATCATCTGTCAACAAATATGCTTACTCTAAAGCATAATTTCCATGATAACAGTCCAGATCTGTTGAGGGTTAGATTTTTTTCCTACTTTGCACTCAATTACCAAAGTGCTAGAGGCAAGGATTTCTTAAGGTAATATCTTTTATTGGACCAACTGCACAACTGGGATAGTTAGACAAGGTTTCAAATGGAAGACATTCTCTCAATTATGCAG